ATGATTATGAAATGTCCTCTAACTCAAGCCTCCAGGCAGCAGTAAAAAGAGGCTTTGCAAAATGGCAGCCTCACCAGTGCCAGAGTACAAACAGAACAAAAACAGCAATCTCGTAAGACGGTCTTAAATGTGATCTTAAATGTGATTTCTTCCCCAAAATGTGATGTCAAAACCTGCTCACCCCTACTTTAGGAACAGGCTCGTTGGCTCCCAGAAATAATCAGTATAAAATTTTTCCACGCTGACATCTGCAACCACAGGGGGAAATACTATTGCAGGTGCTTGGGAAGAATAGTAACTGTTATATTTTCTCACTTGATCTACTTAGTTCAGGGAATTCTTATCTCTGCTGCAAACAGATGACCTGAACTACATGTTAGAATAAGAAAGAACAGATGTATTATGGACAGGCAGATATATCATTCTAATTGCTCGAAGACCATCATAATAGCCAGAAGGCCAATCACAACAAAGCAAAAATGATAACTATGTTCTGAGTTACTACATGCATCAGAATGAGGGTTTGCATATTAAAAATAAGAGAAACAAACAGTCCTGTGGTGCATACAATTTACCACTGTGTAGTATCATTCATTTGGTGTTATTAGTTAAAAGTTGACGCGTTAACATTTCCTTCAGGGTGGGGGAAAAACAGGTTTGAAACTGGTTCACTCCCAAGGGATTAAGAAGAGTATTAAAAATAATTTTCTCAAATCTACATATGACTTTGTTTGGGGTATCTTTTTCTCTCCACAAATGTTCTTTAAAAATTGCCAAATAAAACACCTGGAAACAGAAGTCCTGTATTTAAGCATGGAACAGGAACATTGTGGGCAGCAACAGCAGCTGAGTCTGATTAATCTGTAGGTTAACATCAATTTAATACATGTAAACTAGGTAAGTTCCTTTGCCAATAAAGGATGAAACTCTAGACTCACCGAAGTCAAATGGAGGGCAAGGTATTTAAAGCTGCATATCCCTGTTTTCATTAAATGCAGATTTTCTCATATACCAAGGAAGTTGAGGGAATTTACATGTGATTATGCCCTTTGCCTTATTAAAGAAAATATTCAATTTTTAAACTGAACAATTGTTAACAAGCTATTTTTATTGTTTTTTGGGGGCTGGTATTTTGCAATCAGACATGAAAGCTTTCCAGGTTTTCCAAGAAAAGATTCACACATTCTTCTCAGGAAGCAGGTGGACCAATTCAGCTCTGTACATGAGTGTGTTTAAGTGCCTGCTACTTCACATGCAAGCTGCCCATCACAAAAAAGAACACATACGGCACATGTAAAAGAAAACATAATTCATCTGATGCCACATAATACTTCAAAACTGAAATGTATCAACATTATGGAAATGTACTGAATTATTATTGTTTGCTTACAATAAAAACATCGTACCATATTGCTTGACAATAATTCATCAATAAGTTAATTAAATAGAGGCTTAATTTTGGGTTAAAAAAGGTAAGCAAAGAAGTGAGTATTCAGAGAACTGAAAATGAAGAAAAGTCAAATTAAGTTGTAATAGGATACATGCTCATCAAAAAAAAAAAAAAGCAAAATATCTACATGAGCATTATGTTTATAGGCATGAGAAACCAGCCAACCTAATTAAAATCTTAGGTTCCGTGGAAGCAACCCAACAATACAACTTGGGCTAGGTGCTACTGTGTGAAGTCTAAGTGGAGAAAAAGTTTAATCAAAGCCTTTTCAATGTGCATACTTTAGGCTCCACATCATGTCTGAGGCTTCCAAAATCAGAACTGGCCACTGGTCCTGGGCCAAGATGAATGAAACTTTCCAACAACCTACTTAAATTAAAACAATAGGGGAAAAAAAGAATATTTTGACATGAGTCTCTACAAAGGAAAACTGCATTTACAAGAACCAGCCACACAGTGGAACCCTTTCTACAAGAATAGATTGTATTTGCATTTAGTTGGTTTGAAGGCAAAAAAATACCCAGTTTCTGTGTAAAACTGTTGTTAGTCATTTAATAGCTAGCCTATTTAATTAAATGTGAAGACTAGCTGTCCATATGATGAGAAATTTATTTTTCTACTTTGTTCATCTTAAAAATATGCTTGTATTTATTCACAACAAAATCAATTTCCGAACTATCCTGTGGCTCTCAGCAAAGCCAAAGTGTAGTTAAGTTCACATGGCCTTGCCTCTATTTTCTGCTACACAAGGCAGCCTGAAGCAGCATTTAAACCCAAAGGTAGCATAGCCACATTCCAACAGAGCCGGGAAGCATCATGCTGCATTCTCAGCAGGTGCACAGGCAAGGCTTACCTGTCAGGAAATCTGTGCTGAGCACAGTGGCACAGCAATGGCACCCTGGGGTGCTGCAACATCCTTTTAATGGTGCCACTGGGTGCTGCACAATATTAGCACTGTTAGGTGTGCAAACACCTACACACGATTCACAAGATAAACTCAGGGATTTCAAACAAGAATCTATATGGCTGCATCCACATGAGCATGGACATTTGTTTCCGCAGGGACAAGTATCAGTGGCACAGCTTGTGCTGCTCCTTGTCTCTGGGGAATGCCTGTGCCCCATGCCTCCTGGCATGTGCCAAGTTACCCTGTGTGGGGTTGGGGATGCTGAGGCCAGTGACTGTGCTGGCCCGAGCAGCCTTACCTGGGGTCCTGGGGGCCTCCAGGGGCTGCAGCCATAGTGCTCCTGCAGCTGGGAGCCTGGTCAGCAGCTGGGGTGTAGCTCCAGCCGGCCAGTCTCTGGTTTTGGATGGTGCGTGCTGCTGCCACACACAGCACCCCGCTTTTTTTTTGGTATGGGTTTTTTTGACCTCGGGATCTCCAGGCTACAAGGTAGCAGTGTGAGGAATGCCTGCATATACATTGTGCAGCACCACAGATAGGTCTGCAGTGCCATTTACTGCACATCCATGCTAGTCTGGACACGGCTTATAGCATCAAAAATGCTCTGAAACCTGGTGTGGTTTTTCTGAGTTCTTTGCAACAGAATAATTGCTCTAATCTTGTGCTGCAGTCAAAAAACAAGTGAAAGCTAAGAACTGGCATTTTCTCAAAGGTGCCTTGAGTCTGAAAAGGTTGAGCACCATTGGTGCAGAGGTTCAGTATGGGGTCCCTACTCTGTGCTAGACAACTATAGTAATACCAGCCCTAAAACTGATGGCTGCTTATCAGCTTCAGAGATGCTAATGTAGTGGGGACTCTGAAGCAGCTTGGACTCAGGATGGTTGCATGGTTTGTCATTGTCAGCCCTGATTAAATGCTGCTAGGACCACGACTGGGATTTGTTTCAAATTTGCATGAAAGATGTGTTTCATGGGAGTTTTGGGCACACATTGACACAACCTCCAAATTCAGGATAGTCCTGGAAAATCTCAAACAGAAGGGCACCTTCCTGGACCAAACAGGAAGGGGCTAGAGGCTACCCTGCGGTCACAAAGCCCCACCAGGAGACACCTGCAAGTCATGTCAGGTAGGAGGAAAATGAGAGAAGCCCTACTCAGTAGTTGCAGCCAGGAGCACCTCCTGAGCACGGCGGTGCACCCTCTGCAAAAAGGCACCACTGCCGGTGGCATCTGTGGGCGGTCCGCCGTTCCCTGGGGTCTAGACAGAGAGGGGGCTGGAAAATGGTAATTTAAAAATGATTATCATCATTATTTCTGGCAAAGGGGGGGGGCCTGATACTAGAAGTTCACCGTCTAGATATGGTGCTGCTTGGCAGCCGCGATTACAGGTGGGGAAGTGCCCGCAGCACAACGCAACACCTTGCACGAGTGGGTTGTGCAGTGTAATATAAACACAGACCGACAAGGAGAAACGAGTGTGACCGCGGGTGCGGGAGCACAGAAAAAGGCCAGGTGGGCAGGCAAGTGTCCCGGGGCAGGTTGGGGCCCTCAGCTGAGGGCAGGGGTCTCAACCTTTTCAGACTCCAGCCCCAACGTCCACACGACTGTTACCTTTAAAAACCCAGCAGACTACTGCACACATCGGATTCAACATTACATATTGATTTTAATGAATATGATGTATCTCCTGGGTGACTTTCAGCAGCCTCCTGGGGCCTGGTATGTAATGCCTACAGACTCCAGGGGGGTTGGCAACCCTCGGTCCATCTCGTGTGCGCCCCTGGCAGGGCTGCGGGTGCTGTGAGGGGATCTGAGGCACAGAGGGAAGCCCCGAGCACCACCAAAAGCGCAAGCCCTGTTGGTCGAAATACTTTTCGTATTTTAAGGATCGGCGTTTTGATTCGAGTAGGGGTGAAATCTTTGCAATAAGAGTTCAGATCTTATTTTGCAAGACACTGAGGGACTCAGGGCTGAGACTGGCGGACCCCAGGGCTGCAGCGTGTCCACCCTGGGGTGCGAATGGCTTCTCCAGCAGTAGGGAGCAGCCCCATGACGGCTGGGGCGCGCGTGCCAGCAGCCCCCTCCCTCCACGCCCATGTTCAAAAGATGCTTTGCGCGCCCCCTCCTCACAGAGCCGCGCCCTGAGGCGTCTGAGCGCTGCCCCCACCAACGTCTCCAACTTCCTCCGCACGCCCCGCCCCCTTCCCCGCCTTCTC